AGTGGCACCGTTACGGGAATATTATTGTTTATATTCTACTTAAAAGTGAGCAACGACAAAAAAATTTCAAATTTTATACAATGTCATAAAAGGCTATTCAATTATGTACAAAGAAGATCCTCTTGTTGATACTCAATAGTAGTTCGAGAAAAAACGAGACCAGACTTCAAATTTTGATGTCTAAGTACACAGTATGTAACATTTTGAAATTTGTATACCGATTCAGTCACATAGCAGACTGAATTTTGCCATCACGAAAAGTTATACAGGGTGGACAAAAAATCTATGCATATTTTCAATATTGACACCCTGTACCTCAAAAGTTAGGACGTTCACGACATACGACATAAGTTTTATTCTTGAAATTGGTCGAAGAATCGGCCCCTTGAATATTAGCATATCATTAAGGAACACCCTGTATAAAAAAAGTTCCTTATCTGAAATTAAACAACATTTTTAGTACATACATTTTATTTGTTTTGACTGCATGACCACATCTGGTCTTACATTTTCAACATGGCACTCTGTACATGTATTTGTAGAATAATATACCTATCTGTACATAAAATCTGTTATTTAGCATTTTGATTCATAGATCCTTCACAGAATAGATACACAACATTTCTAGAAAGTGAAAACCATAAACACTTTCCACTAAAGGCACTTCAAAAATCATTGTCTAAATCTTTTCCTGATCATTTTATACTCATCTGGCTTGCAATAGACTGTTCAAAAACAGAATAAAAGATTACAGGTTTTTCAAATAATGCATAGATATTTTTTTTATAATACTTTCGCAAGACTCTTATCACAGAACATTTCAACAAAAATATATAACATATCTACTTGATTATGTATTACAAATATTGCACCAAAATATACGAATGAGTTATGTTGAAATCATGTTGAGTGTTTATTAAAAATTTCGAGATTGCTGTGACTAAAAAGGTCTAATCCGAAAATCCATCAATGGAAAATATTTACTGTGATTGGCAGGTGAGGTAAATTCAATTGTTTGAAGGTAGCCTATTATCTTTACGGTACACTGAGGTGAGCAGATACATCAAAAGCACAGATTGAGGTATTTCATGTTTATAATATGTAGAAGTTTGCATGTTTTTCATCAGGATCGTCAAAGACATGGAGGGAACTATCTACTTTCCACATACTTTACTGTATCACAGCCAAGGATTCACATGGAAAATTATACAATGTCCGCCATAAAGTTAATAATATATGGGAAAATAGTTATTTATGTAACAAGTGCGTGAAGTGGTACTTTTTTTTAGAGTAGGCAATTCCGTTTCACATTCAATATTTTTCTTACAACTGTCAAAAAATAGGACACTCATTCAACTTATGATGTAAATGATTAAATGATATTTCGCAATTATTATCAAGTATACATTTACTCATTTCATGTCACTTTATTGATAACATCTGGTTTCTAAGGACGTAATAGCCAGAGCCACCTTCTGCTTATTTGAATAAATCGCTTATCCCCTTCGCATTCAACGATGCTGATCAATTCATACATGAGATGCGATAATATATATTCATCTAATACGCGAGGTTATCGTGGCATCTTTTTCCCGCTCCCATCTCTATTTCACTGGCGCTCCATACGAAATTCGAAGTCAGCCGCCTTGATTTATTCGCTTGCTGCCTTGCTGAATTCCGTAAAGGAGTCCATAGGCAGTGTTGCTGATGGGCTGTATTGTTCGATCAAAAATGACGCAAAACCGAAGTGTATGGTATGTGGCTAGCAAAAATGACCATTTTGCAGCCACACACTTCAGTTAAGAGTCATTTTTGTTAGAACAGACTTATTCGTCGAACAAAACAGACGACCAACAACGCAGTCTATGGAATCCTTTCATGCAAGCATTTTTTCCATCGCCTAGCAACAACCGTAAAATAATGAAACAGTATTTTGATATTTAATAGGTAATTGTACACTTTAGGTACAAAATGTATCGAAAAAGTGCAGTTTTTTGACAGTTGTAGGAAAATGTGTATTATTGGAGTATTCAAATGATATCCTAGATCACGTGATAACTGGTTTTGCGACAAATTATAAAAAAAATGAAGAAGCAAAAGGAGTACTTTCTGGTGCAAGTACATTTGTTTCACAACAGTGGAGCTTTTCAGGAAAAAACATTAATAATATTCATAGAGAATGGAAGCTATATCCAATTTTCACGAATTATTGCTTGAAACTTGGTACTTACATTACTTACATGAGTATGGAGTTATAATTTTCAAGCAACTATATGGAGAAACTTTTCTCAAAATCTTGCCAGTCAACTCCACTTTCTGCCTCTTCATAGTCTTTTTTTTTCATTAACTGCTCTACCATTGGTTATAATGATATGACATCTATCAACTCTAAAAATGAACTTTTTTCTCATATGTCACTTCATGGCGGAAACTGTATGTTAACATCAGAAAGCAAATAATATTAGACGATCATCCAACAATACAAGATAACCGTTCTCAATACTCTATTAAAAATTTACATTACAAGTAAAAAATTTATAACTAGAAAATTTTCAGGGATCCATGCCTTGAAAGGTTTAACAATCTTTCAATAAGGCGTTTCCGGTGAAACATTGGTTTGTACCAACTAGTACCGGGTATTTGGTAACGGTTCTGGTAGGCTTATCAAATCATGTCACTCTTTTGACCGAATTCCACTCGGAAAACCCTTGAATGTGAGAACATAACCTCAAAATTTCAAATCAAAAAGTGCCGTTATCATCATAATGACTATTGAGACTATAGCAAGGTCGATTTCCTTAATGTCTCAGTCTTCAAACTGCGAAAAAATTGTTTATTACTTGAATTCAAGCTCAATTTTTAGATTTCGCAACTGCAAAACAGAGATGGGAGACATATATGTCTATTCAACTACTAACTGTAAAAACGGGTGGGTGGAAACAGTATTCTCATTATTGTCGAAAGTAGGAACAAGCTCTGATTCGGTTATGTACTGACACTATTGGCAGTACTGGCAACTGTCAGAATTATTAAAATGGCGAACCTTGATAACATTTGATACCGCTATGCAGGGTAAATTGCATTGAGAACTTGAAAGCCACCGTTGGTTGCATATAAAGAAATTTCAATTGGAAATTTGAGGTTATAGGTCTCCACTAACATTTCGGCGTAGGAAATCCCTATTCAGTTCGTGCATCAGCTTAATGAAAAATCGATTGGTAAATAAAATATACAGATCTTTGTGAACATTAAAAGCAGTCCTATATCACACGACTCTCTTTGAGATCGATTAGTGGCTTCATCCACTGTACTCCACTAAAAACGTATAACAAAACCATCACTAAATGAATTGTTCATGTTAATATAATTATATCACTCTTTTATAATACTCCAGTTCTCAGTTTTTTAATAAGCACAGTTTTCGTACCTTCCTCTCTCTAATGCATCTTGCCCTATATTCGTATTGTCATGAAAAATAAACCTAATCTATAATCCAACATTTTCCCATTGCACTTACATTTGAGTACAGCATAGTAACAATTCAGAAGGATAATGAGTCAACTACTGCACTGAATGGACTTGGAACAATTTGAGATGGTATATTACCACGTCACAATTATTATTGTGATTGATGATGCTTGTGAAATGCATAACATATTTATTGTATATATAGTATGAGCATTGAACAAATTAACCTTCGATATCACAATCTGTTTGGTAGATCATTTTTTCTACTGATGCTCATTTTTCTGAAATGATTTGTTGACAAATCATTCGTTAATTTTACAAATCAACTCAGCAATTTCAGTTTCATTGGGCTACAAAATAATAATCATCTAACGTCATCAAATAAAACGGCCTGTATATCTGCTCACACTATAGTTGCAGAGCATTTCACAAGGAGATCATTTGATGTCCAATATATTAATTTTATTCACAACGCCAATTATTAGAATATAAACTCATATTTATATTGAACATCACATAATTGTAAAAAGCATTATACCTCAGAGTAGTACGAAAATATTTCAGCCGATTTCGTGCAGATATTGCTTCACTATCCCATAACAAGGCGATAATATCAATTTTCAAAAAGCAACAGTGGTAGATAACTTCTCTTTACATCAACATACCTACAATTATTTTGGTCAAACTCCATTTCACTGTCCATCTACAAGTTTCGAATGGATGATGCCATTTTGTAGTCCTGAAGCTGATGGTCTCTAAAATGGCGAATACTGCTAAAAATGATTTTCACCGAAATTATTAAGTCACAACAATTTTCTCAATTTGATTTCTAACCGCAAGACCCACTGGGTGATGATAACGGGTTAACTGAATTTGTAGCTAAATCAACACATACTTGCACGTCATTTACCAGACCAAACTGCTCCAGAAAGGTGAGTCAGTTCATGTTTTCCTTTAATACACATTAGAATCTGTGGCAGCCATTTCAGTAGCGACATCCATTTAGTGGATTTTGATGAAAATTTCAAGCAACAGGTCGAAACTTCGGATAAGCTTGTCAATAAAAAATTGGATGAGTCTGGCCAACAACTTTTGGAACCAATAAAGGAAAAACGAATGGAAGGGTATTGAAACTTGAAAGACGAGGATATTCGCAAGCGCTCAACTAAACTGATGCACGTTTGGATTCGTCAGAAATCGATGTAAGTATAAGTATCCTTGATTTCGCAAATGTTGTGAAATTGATTATTCAAATAATGAAAATATTGTTTCTTTGAGTTGAAACAAGGCACTTAACAGAATACATAATTATTTTGATTAGCTCAAACTGATTTATTGCTATGCTATGCGTTTTTTCACACAGGAGTAAAATAAGTTATCTGTTCGGGATAATTTTCAGGATTACGTAATGGCACCACCGATTCAGAAGACGTTTATAGAAGGTCGGTGAAACGAAGGGACCGCTTCCTCAATTAATTAATAAGTCTCATGTAGTTATTCACAATAACTTTGTGCTCACTGTACAACAAATATCAATCGAGCCGATGCCGCCTGGCGTTCGCGTTGTTTTGTTCCTCTTCATCACAGATTTGGTCTGGCGCTGACCATCTCCTTTTGCCTGCGGCTATGCTGTCGGGAGACATCGCCTGCGGGGGATAACTTGAGGGTAGATGGAGGTTCATCGGCTGGGTCTGATGGGTGCTAACCTGCTGAAAGAAAAACGATGTTAAAGGAGAGTACCACAGCCTTCTCTGATGAGGATGCCATGGTGAACAGAATTGGCAACACTGTCCGAAAGTCCCTCGCCGGCCATAATGCACATACACGATGCCAACCACCGATATAAATTACTAACTAGACGGCTAATGCCATAAGATCGAAGCTTATTCACGAGATAGAGAACTTGGTCCAATGATGCGTGCCTATTCAGGACTTTGTCATATATGTTACTCGATCACTCGAACTCAAGAAGGGTTTTTAGGCGAGCATTTTGGATGAGAATGGACGAGTTCAGCAACTCATTGCCAACATTGAAAATAGCTAAAAACGTTTACCACTGAAAACAGAGTATTTTCATTAAATATTGATACCATTTTTGTCCTTATCGATTTTTGTATCATCCAGTGAGTCCCCGGCGTCCGATTCGCTGGGAATTATGAAAACTTTGATATTATGTGATTTTGAGATTATTTCTGCATGTCAGACCAGGCTTCCCGTTTGATTGCACGAAGGATGAGAAAAATAAGAAAAGTGAGGTTGTGTTTCAATGTTTCACCTCCAGGGTCGGTCATCTGACAGACGCACACAATCCATATGATGAACTGAAATAACCTCAAAATCAGTTGACATCAGAGTTTTGATAATTTCTTGCGATTCAAGAGTCGGGGACTACCTGGATGATACAAAAATCGATGAGGAACAAAATGGCATCAATGTTTTATTAAAATAACCTGTTCCCAGTGGTAGAAGTTTTTAGCTATTTTCAAAGTTGGCAATGAATTGCTGAATTCGAACATTGCTGGGATATGACATAATATACCGATCTAGATAGCATTTTTGTCAGTGAATGCAACGGAGTAAATTTGTTTAATTTTGATAATTGAATTGATAGCTAGTGAATAGTGAAAGGAATAATCTGGTGATCGAGTTATAAGTAAAAGTTTTTTTTCGTTTTTGAATTGAAGTTATGTATTGTTTCTTCATTATTTTTGGAAGAAGAGAAAATAATGTCAATATTTCTCTCAAGAAGATATGCCGAATCATTGTTGTGTTAATTCAAATTAGGGACGCTTTGGAAAATAAGTTTGTTTTAATTTTTACATTTCCTAAAGATGAAGACCTGCGGAAAAAGTGGATAAGTGGTAGACCATGAATTCCCATTTCTTCCCAGGAAACTAAGAACTCACGGCGCAGGCAGGTCAATGCTGTCAATGAAGATCTTGCTGAAATCACAGCCTGGGGAACAAACAACCTTGTGGAATTCAACGCCACCAAAACTCAAGCCTGCATTTTCTCTAGAAAGGCGGAACTTAGTATGCCCGATATTGTGATGTCTGGCTCCACCATCCCCACCAAGCCCACCATATCTATGCTCGGTATTTCCATCAGCAACACTCTCTCATGGGATAATCATGTCAGATCCATCGCAAAAGCTGCTTCACAAAAACTCGGATTCTTGTTCCGTGCGAAAAGCTACTTTACACCTCAACAGCTTCTCATGATCTACAAAGCGCAGATACGGCCTGTTCTAGAATACTGTTCCCACATATGGGGTTCAGCTCCAAAACATACGCTGATGCTCTTAGATTCCATCCAGAGAAGAGCCATTCGCCTGGTGGGTGACGCCACACTCACTCACTCTTTGACATCATTGGAACACCGTAGAAAGGTCGGCGACCTTTCACTTTTCTATCGATACTTCCACGGGAAATGTTCTTCGGAAATCTCTGCTATCATCCCTTCATTAGCAATACCAATCAGACGAACTAGACAAGCCCAGTCAGCACATCCTTTCGTTGTCAACCTCGAAAGATGTCGAACAGCACTTTATCAAGACTCCTTCATCCATAGAACGGCTAGGCTCTGGAATTCATTGCCTGTGGAAGTATTCCCAACAACATATAGTCTCCAAAAGTTCAAAAAAAAATTCCAATACCTACCTCCTGTCCTTATCCTCCCTAGGAACGCACGATGTTCTTTGAACATTATAGGGATTCCCTTTCGTGCGCTCCAAGCTATAAAGAAAGATAAAGAAAGATCAGTACTTAATGGGATACTTAGAATAAAAAAAAACCTGAACGAGTTTTTTCGGAAGGGTGCATATGTATACAAACTAAAGGTGTTGGCCACCAAATGGTTTCCAAATAGTTCCCTAATGGCTTCGTGAACTTTCAAGATACATTTGATACATTATCAAGTTATTTTCAGGACTAAAACTGCTTCATCAGAAGTAAAAAAAGGAGAGCTCCTGTACGGCACCTAGGCTTCGAATACTTTTGGACCTTGAGGGCTGAATCTGGCCTTTCACCCTTGGTGTCACGCCATTGTGACCTTTGGCACCTCAGGTTGTCTCTGGTCGCCGTCTAACCTCCGAGATACGTTAGTAGCCTGGAGGTGAAAGCATTGCATTTCTCGGGGAGACCAGGGGAGACAATAAACATTATCTGTGGACTTGCGGGAAATTCGGTACGCGTCAGGGGCCAGAGTAGACGATAAGGTTAGGTCTTGGACGTTAGTGAACTACTTTTGGCCGGTGCAACGTTAACGTGGTGGCTTAGGTGGGTTGGATCATTGACATAACAACTACCTAGTGAATATGTCACATCTGCTCAATGCGCAAGAACCCTCAAACTGTCGGTCCTGACAGCTAGTCATGTTTCTTGGTGTTTGGTGTTCTTAGGAAATAAGCGGTCTAAATCACCGACTTATAGATTAATCTAGACCGCCAGTTCTATAATGAAAATAGTGAGCCACTCAGGAGAGCGAACTGGTGAAACTGATTCATGCGCATTTGGGATCTATCATGTTACAATCATGAATCCGAGGAACATAGGCGTATCGACGGAAAAAGTTTGGGAGGGGTCTGCTATGGAAGGTTGATGAACCATACATAAAGTAGTGAGAAACGTATGAAATATGCCGTTTCTCAAAAAACGGCAAATCTGCACGTTGTTTCATTGTCCTGGATTTGCCTAGAAGCATCAGAAAGCTGTCTGGCGTAAAATATGAACATAATTATCTTTTCTGAGTGGCTGAGGTTTTTTTGTTAGGGTGTGTAGTTACTGTGATTTTAATATGTATCGAAGAATTTCAGTATGCTCGGCATTTTGAACAAACATTTTCTATATCAACCTAACCTCTGACAACTTGACAGTTGACACTAGCGTCTAGAGACTGAACGCATCAAATATTGCGAGCGATTCCGGCCACTGCCGAGACGCACGACAATATTCGGTGCGTCCTGTTTGTCAACTCTAGATAGCAATCGATGTAGTACACGTACAGTTGGCTGCATAACCGACTGCAAATGAAAATATGACAAGAAATTATTGTTTTAATCATGAAATAATGAGTGAAATAGTCTTAACAAATACAACTCGTTTCATTGATGATTATCGAAAATCCCTTCTCTTTTTCGAAACAAATTATGCTGCTTGGTAACCACACGAGCGGATGGCGCTTGTTGTATTCCATACGAATATTACTCACCTTCGGTTCCGTCAGATGCGCCCTATTGCCGCCACTATTAACCGACACCTGTCGCGCCGTCATCGACGTCCCGGTCGCCGTCGTCATCACCGTCGCTCCCACCGCCCGCTGAGCGTACTGCGAGTTCGTGGGAGCCTCCCTGTGGGAGATCGTGGGAGCCTCCCTCTGGGAGCTCGTGGGAGCCTCCCACTGGGCGTTCGTGGGCGCCTCCCTCTGAGTTGGAGTGGGCGGCTCCCTGGGCGTCAGCGAGATGAGCACGTCGCCCACTTGGAGCCGGTGCACCTGGAGGCCGTAGCAGCGCTGCGAGCGGTCGGGATCGCAGGACGCCCAGCCGTGTCCCATCACGAAATAGGGATGTTCCACCGAAGAGTCCATGTCCACCTGGAAGAAAAAACAAACGAGGGTTAGCTACTGTCTGTAGGTTAATCGAGGAGGTGTTATATGATAATCGATTAATAACGAAATGACGATCTGTGATTTATTCAAAATATTAAACACTTTACCATGGCAACACGATTTCTCAAACACATTACCATGGCATCACAGTTCATTAAACACATCTTCAGTAATTTGAGACATGTCTGGTCTGTCGAGACCAAGAAATTGTGAGTAAGTTTAAGTATCTAGGATTTATTGTAGATAACACAATTTCATTGAATGATCATGCTGACTATGTAATAAGTAAAATATCAAAAAAACTGTATTTCTTCTCAAGAGTGTCATCTTCACTATCAATGTATGCCAAAATAACATGCTATAATTGCATAATAAAACCTCATTATGATTTCTGCGGTACTCTCTCATATCTTATTAATCAGAACAAATTAAACCAATTACAAAAATTGCAGAATCGTGGAATGCGAATAATACTACGCTGCAATAGAATGACACCTATACAAGATATGCTTTGTAGATTAAGGTGGCTTACAGTTTCTCAACGACTTCACTATCTAACTATGATATTTATATTTAAAATAATAAATAAATTGCAACCAAAACATATTTAGAAAACCTTCTAATCACGAACAATGAAGTACATCATCATAATACCAGATCGAATACCAATTTCTACATCCCAAGGACAAATTCACGAAGCAGTATGAACTCATTATTTTTCAAGGGTTTGGATAGTTTTAATAAACTGCCAAATAATAGAAAAAATTCATCTTCCATCCGTTTATTCAAGAGGGAGTTGATATGCAAGTACCAAAACATTCTCTTCGATTTCACTTTCGTCTACATTTCGCATATATTTTCAATGAATAATTCTGATACAAACGAATATTGTTTGAATAATTCTGATCCAAAATTTTAAAATAACAGTTGACACTTAATTCAATTGATAGGCCAGATATGTCTCAATTTACTGGAGCTGTGTTTAATGAACTGTGTTGTCATGGTAATGTGTTTAAGAAATTGTGTTGCCATGGTAACGTGTTTAATATTTTGAATAAATCACAGATCGACAATCCGTGATTAATCGATCATTTATTAGGGTGGTACATATCCGTACGGTAAATGCCATTCTAGTTATGTGAGTAGAAAAATATTTTTAAAGCAGCGCTGTATAAGAAGAGAATATCTTTGTTCAGAAAATAATGGTTATCATTTTGAATGTTTGCTATAAATGTTATTGCTATCAATTATTACTGTTCCTGTTGTCAAATTTCATTAAGTTACTTATGGTAAGATTGCTTGTACTTCTTAATGAAACAAAATCATTTCTATTCATAATTTATGTAAACTATTCTATTAATAAAGTTATGAATATACCCAACAAATTCCACACATATTTATGACCAATATCCTTGTTGGCGTAGTACCTGATTTGAAAACTTTGTCCAGCAGTTATAAATGACAATACAAAACACACTGAATGTTCTGTGCCGAGTTTAACTATTTTGTTTTCATATCATTTATTTATATCTATTTTTAATGCAGCCAGTGAAAAATCAGAATGAGGTGCTAATAATAAGTGGTAGAGTAACCGTTTGCCAATAGTATTAACGTAACAATTCTTTGGCAACGTTCCATTTGCTACTTTTTTGTTAAAAACAACGGAAATAGAAGACCCACACGTTTATAGTGTTGAAATATTTCCAACAGGAATTTATTTGAATCTTCTCACCTCTGTTCTCACCATGAAATGGACCAACATCGATGCAATAATGGGCCTGTTACATCAGTGAAAAACTTCGAAAAAAATTAATCGATTTCAATTCAGCTCATTTTATTGTATCGAGAAAAGGATTAATCAATATTTCACAGGGCGAATCGATTTTGTTTTCGTTTCCATTTGATAGTGCCGTGAGAGATCCATTCTTCACAAAAAATATCATAAAATCCTAAATTTCACTTTGATAAAGAAATATGGCATTATTGGTGCTTATAAATTCGACTAGATAGTACAACCTCAATATACACGTTCGTTTCTATATCCCATTGTTTGAGTTTTCTCATGAATAGTTTTGAATTGTGTAACATCATCCTTTGCATTTAAGATGAAACTGAGAATTATGAGAATAAGATCTTTTTGTAGAACTAACAATGAAGACATAGACGCATCGACCTAATATTTGGTGGGTGCGTCAAAACATTTCAAGCATCATGATACTTTTCTAACTTCTGCCGGTCCTATCATGAGCGTTTCCACCAATAAATAGAATGGTACTTTTTCTTCTTATAAATAGGTACAAGAATACTATTCCATTCGCTATACAGAGCGTTATTCAATTATATCAAGAAAATATGCAAGGGTTGGACATACACACAACGTACTTATAGATTATTGTGGTATTGGTTGTCATACATATTGCGAAGTGTCAACTTTGACACGACTCAATCAATTTGGATGAATTGTATCCACATCCTCGTGTTTATAGCGAAGTTATTGGAATTATGTCGATGTTTTCCTACAATAAATCAGTTCTTGTTTTCTATATCACTATGGAACTGAAATTCAGAATATAAGAGAAACATTTAAGTGCAATTGCGTGCGAAAAAGTATAACTTTCCGCACTTGTTAGGTGGTCTACTATATTTACTTCACCACTTTAGTGAGGTAAAGTACCTCGTTAAGAAACCCACATTAGTGTTGTATGTTCGAAGATAACGAAAACATAATTTCCAATCGATTAAACAACAATGTTGATGCGATATGAATGGAGTCAATAAATGAATGAATACGATTATAGGAATAGTCAATTAAATTTGAATACAACATTCCACAGCGTCACGAGGCCACTGACATGTAGGTAATGTTACTAATTTCAGAAAAACATATCGAGCGTGAGCATTTCGTCTCATTTCCGAAAATAAACTCCGGTGGATATTCTGTGCCAGTTTTCTAATGATGCGAGACGTTTTCATGCACATGGTGTAACACCATCAAAAACAAGCAGAAATAAATCACTTTTTTCTGCAACCGACACAAAAGTCGTCCATTTTGATACCAAAATTAACTCTTAAATTTACGTTTCTATTACTGACACAAAAATAGGTATGTTGCTAGGCAACATTTTCAGTTCCTAGGAGCTAAAGTTGAATTTTAGTTCCTAGAAGCTAAAGTTGAACTTTAGCTCCTAGGAACTAAAAAGGATGTACTGGACGTCATCAAGAATAAACAACATTGTGACGGTTGGTTTTTTGGGTTGAGACGCATACCTGATTTGTTTCCGATTTCAGCAGATTTGGCATTTCATACCCATGCTGGAGATATAAAATACACCTTATTATAGTTTAGTATTGGAATTATAAACATCTCAGTTAAGTATTTTTGTTTTGATCAGGGAAGCCTTCAAGATTCAAATACTTGCTTGATCTGTATTTCATTCGTTATTCTCGGGATGGATGACTTGTTTTTGAATAATCACGGCAAGCAATAGTTTTTTTGTCTCAAACAACGATATTGTTTAGCTTCATTTGATTATCAAGTCAAACACAGTGTAGTATGCCGCGGTATTTGTCATTAGAGCAGCTGGTCCATACACAAATATGTCACTCTGTGGTTGTATTTATATTGAAACTATACAATTCGAACATCCTAGAAAACCTAACCTGCTGTTAATGCAGGTAGAATATTCTCACCACATGGATTATTTGTCAATATTTGTTGCATTGCACGGCATTGGTGGTTACTTCACATGTTTATTTGAGTTAATTGTTTCGGTTGCAGAAAAAATAGCATGTTTCATTCGGATCAAAAGTGACTTTTTCGACTCGCAAATTTTGCATTCGCTTGTCAAACAAAGTGTCACTTTTGATCCTAATAAAACAATCTACTATTATGTTCAATCTATTTTCAATGCATTTTTTCATTCAAGGGAAATGGAATCCTAATGCAAAAGTTCATTTTGACAAAAGGCTTCAGAAAAGTACCTCGAAAATGTTTTTTTACAACGATTTAATGTGCGCAAGACGCGTTGAAAATGTTCTGTTGTGTCCATGAAAAGGCTTCAAAAAGAACTAGGGAGAAGATAGTTTTGTGACATATCAAGGACATCTCGATAATTGCCGCCTGCGGCGGACATTGACTGTTCTATAATAGTTCTATTCATGTGTGAACAGAACATCGCAGTGGAAATCTCGTACTTTTAACAACTCTGAGATGTTTTTGTGCTCGCTGGGATTTCTCATTCATGCAATATGGATATTACTACTTAAACAGGGAAATAACCAATTAATAGCAACAGCTGACATCTGTAAGCTTCACAAAGTTACCATGACGTTATAATGAAGTTAGCCTAGTTTTTCTAGTTAGGTTTGAAAACGGCTGAATTGTTAATTATTGAAAATAAAAGCAAGAACAACTTCTTGCACCCTTTATCGATTTCAGTTGATCTTGAACTATACTACGCTGATCAGAGAAATGAATGATCGTCAGTTTCTCATACAACGTAGCAGAAGATAGTTTATCTTCTGTAGTCTTACTGAAAGCATCAAATCTCTCGTAAGACGCCTAAGAAAGAACTGAGAAGCAGAGAAGAGTAGGCCTTGGCCGTTCAAGGACACCTGGTCCCGGAACCGAGCGACTCTTCCCCCTCCCCTCGCTTCCTTACCTCTCGACACCCTCGCTCTCCCCACTACCCCCACGTCGATCGAGTAGTACTACGAGAAATCGTACGTGTACGGGCAACATTCCACTACGACCAGTACTACCACTACCAGATTTTCGATACGGCGATCAAAGAACTCGTCTGGGGACTGCCGTCGGCATGGCGACGTTGCCGGATCTATTCGACGGAAAATGGGAAGGAGACACGTGCACCGATATCTATTTATACAAGCGGAGCAGGGTATTTTATTGTATATTGTATGAGTAAAAGGGGTATGCGACCCAGAATATCTATTGTGCCCCATTCTTCTGATATTCCCGCGACGAG